CGCCATCTATAGACAGAGGAGCGACGCACCCACTCGACATGCCTGCTTGGATGCGTCCTCACCCTGAATTTGTGTCCGTCGGGTGTCCATCCGTCGGGTAGGTCGGGGAACTTCTCGATGAAGTTGATCTTGAAGGACCCGTCGCTCGCAGCATTGCTCACCACCTAAGAAGCAACCAACACAAACACAGAGTGGATAAATGCGTGTCTCTCTTGCCTGCCGACCAGCCCACCCACACACCCACCTGGTACATCCAAAGGTGCTGTTCATCTTCCTCGTAGTCACTCTCCAGCCGGAATATCTGCCGTCTGTCGTTGGTCATAAAGTTGGCAGTCGTCTCCTGATCCACATCCTGCTGGCTCGCCGTGAAGACGATAAACGCCCCATTCCTCAGCCCCGCGGCCTCCAGCTGCTCCAACGTGAGGTTGGTCTGCATCGTGGGCGTGGTGGTCCCGTTGCCTTCCTTGAGCTCAACGGGTGTGTCGGGCAGCACCGGGACGGCCGTGAGTGTGGTGACGGGCGTGTTTGCGGGGTAGAGCAGCACCTCTGTGGAGTTGGAGATGCACCCGGGGTCGTCGCTGAACTTGAGGCGGTTGTCTGCGTTGCCCATGGCCCAGCCGTAGAGGGTCGGCTGGAAGGGGTGGCCCGCCAACACCTCGTAGCGACCGTTGCTGTCGACAGTCCGATTCCGATCAGGACCTGATGGCAGAGAGAGAGAGAGGGGAAGAAAAGCCAGAAGGGATGCAGCCATCCAAGACAAGGCAGCTGTGTGTACGGTGTGTGGTCCATTGTGTGAGGTGGTTTACCTCTCACCATGAGGTATCCCGCCGGTGTGGTGAATCGTGAGTCCTCCTCGCAGCCCTCCGTGTTGGTCTGCGTTTCGGGCGCCGGCCCACCCACCCACACAACCTCTGAATTTCAGAGAGACACACAATAATACACACACGCGCGCCGGTGGAGTGGATGTGCATACATCGCTACACCACGTCGCTATTCAGCTTATACTTGGGCAGTAGCAGAGCTGGTATATGCCTGGTGTGAGGCTGACGTACTCGGTGGCCTCCGTTCGCCCGCCCACGGGTACTAGCAGGTCCAGGTTGCTATAGACATCGAACTCTGTGGCGTTCTCGCTGTCTGCCGTGTTCTTGATCTGGTTGACCGAGACACAACGACATGTCCACACATAATGAACACCGTCCGTGCTGCCATGCCTTCATTGTATCCTTCCTTACGATTCCGTTGATGTGCTGGGCGGCCCTGTTGACGGTCCCGCACACAGCGTCGTTTTCACTCAGCTTCCATAAACAAGGAGAGGGAAGACACCCACATACATACCGATGTGCTTCGGGGCGTGGTAAGTTTGCTGGCTGAGTCAACTCACGAGGTCAAATGGCAGTGGGCCATCGATGTATATCATGAGGTCGTCTTTCTCCATCCTCCTCCCCCGCACCCTCACCGTGCACTGCGGCACGCTGCTCTGGCTGTCGACCAGATTCGTCTCGTTGGCTTTGCAGTGCACCCAGTTGTGCCCGAACGGACCATAAATGTCAATGGCGGTAGTGCTCTCCACGCCAGTGACGGTTGTGGAGAAGGAGGGGTCGATGGTGTTGAAGCCCATGCTGACCTGCGACAATAGGGCCGGCTGCCAGCAGAGGTGGAAGAGGGAGGTGCCGTTCTCGCCTCGATAGCCGGCGTAGCGCGGGACGGCCTTCTTGGATGTGGACTGGAAGGTGAACTTGAGGAAGCCGCCCCTGTGCATGCGGCATGCACACAGACAAAGATACATACCTCTGTGTCTGTTTTTCTGGGTGTGTTGAGCTGCACTGCAGACGCTGGGTCAAGCGATGCTGTCGCCACGCTGTCAGTGAAGACCTCAACTCTGCATTGGCAAAGCACAGAACAAGGTAAGACCGTCAGCAGAGTCATCCTAAGGATACGCTGCCTGCTGTGCTTGCTGACTTGTCCGGGTCAGTTTCGCCGCAGCTCTCGTTGTAGTACAATACCTCGCCATCCAACAGATCCTGAAGCAACAGAACGTCTAACGGACCCCCTGCCTGTATATGTGTCTCTCTCTGCTGGCCGTGGCCACACCCATCAATACATCAATCGATCATACCGACCGCTGGTTTTCTTCTGAGCATCCGCATCTCGTCGCCCGCATCGCAGCCGTAGCAGAAAGAATCGGCCTCGGGGGAGGTCGTGACTTTGATCTCACACGTCCTGCCCGCATAGCATATGTAGGGGGCGTACTGCACATCAGCCTTGGCACCCACAACCATAATGTCGCCTGTGTATGTGTGTGTGAGACAACACAACCAATAATTGTCAGAGGGAAGGAGAGGCGTCTCTATGTGTGTATGTGACCTGCTCTCCATTTGTATGACTCGGCTGTGCTGTCGTCAGTGCATATGGCGCCGCCCCTCTCCACACCAGGGCACCAGCACAGCTTGTACTTGCCCTGCACCAACGGACTGCTCCTGAACCCATGAGGGAACAACACGGCAACACCACCAATCGGCATAAGCGGACTGTTCGGTGCTCGATCGGTCCCGTTTGTACGGTGGCAAGCTGATGACGTATTCGACGCCTCCCCCACTCGCCACAGACACAGTCGTCTGGTCGATCGACACAAACAAACGGACACCCGTATCACGTCTGCGCGTCCCGCGACTGATTCAATCAATCACTGACCACATCGACGGTTGGGTAAAGGTTCGGGTCAAGTGTGCCGCCGATGAAGTCGTTGGCATCGCCGCAGTCCCCCGCGTCTGCGTTGGTGTAGGTGCCGTCACCCACAATGGCCATGCGGTCGCCGTCCTGCAGACCGTGGTGCTGCCCCGCCGTCAGCGTGATGATGCACGGATTCCTGCTGACGGCGCACTTCTTCGTCCCGACCGTGTTCTTAACGGGACCTGCCCACACATACAATACACGGAACAAACAGAGAGGGAGGCGAAACTAATGCTTAGTCAGTTCAGTCACACTGCAGTGAACGTCGGTCGCATCACGTACGTACCAGCAATGGTGAGGGCTGCAGCTTTGAATGGGTAGGCGTCTCTGTAGATGTAGAGGTTCCCATTGGTGTCGTTGGTGGCCGCAGCACACGAGAGGCCCGTGTAGGTGGCGAAGGGGCAGTAACACAGCCAGTGAGCACCGGGCGTGATGGACACAAACACGGGGTCGGTCGCCGCGTGGACGCTCACGATGTCGAAGCTCACGACCGGCGATCCCGCCTCCATTGCAGAACGGGCTGGAAATTACGATGGATAGCGCAGGTCATAACACCGATTGCATGCGTGCTTCATGTGCTGTCTACCGACCGAGCAGCTCTCTGGATGTGCCCGTCTGGGTGGTGTCCATATCGGCGGTGATGCCGTTGGCGGTGCAGGCCGTCCCGAAGGCTGATGAGTCAGCAGCCGTGGCCTTGAAGACCGCCAGCATGTCCGGCTTCCCTCCACTACCAATAATGCCTGCATACGTATGGGCATCACACACGTACACGCACGCGCAAATGTTGTTATACGACGACAGTGTGTAAGGCATCCCATCTCCCCGCACGCACCGTTTGTGACGTCGACAGGGAATGCTGTCTGCCCGTCTGCGATGACGACATTGGAGCCGGTGTTCGAGTCGAAGTGGAAGCCCGCTGGGGTGAAGGCCATGGAGCAGTACTGCCCCACTGCACACGACACCTCCGTGATGCCGTCGACGGGAAAACCCACCACTTGGATGAGGAAGCCGATGTCGATGGAATACTGCGATACACTGACGGCAGTGCTGCCGCCACCGCAGCCGCCGGCAAGGTCACTCAGACACACACAGAGGGAATAAAACCTGACGGAATGAATGAGCATACAGAGACCGCCGGGCCGGCACACAGAATAAATCCAGATAGCCAAAAAGGTACCCGGGGTATCGAAATGCGATGGAGTTGGACTGGCCGGCGGCCGAGCTGCCAATCACACATGGCTGGTCAGGGCCAGCAGTCACACAACCGACGGCACCTGACGATACACGCAGAGAGCACACAGACATGCACATCAGCAATCAGCTTGTCCTCTCTGCGTGGCTGAAGAGCGCCTGCCTGCGGGGAAGCTGGTCTGGGTGTAGGTCGAGGGGTTGTCGGGCGGCAGCACCCCAGTCTGGTCATGCGATATGATGATGGACTTGCCATTCCACGAACCAAACGTCTCACGGTCGCTCGCGCACCTGGTGGAGATCAGATCAGATCACCCGCTGCCCTCTCTCCTTCTCTGCCTCAGTCACCCACTTACCCGATGGTAGCTGGCTCCAGCACGACGCCATCTGAGGCACTGAAATCGTTCGAACTGTCGCGGTCCTCCAGCTCGATAGTGAACAAGCCACCTGCATACACACAACAACGCTCCGCAGCCGTGATGAGTCACCGTGTGATGTCTAAACGCTGACCTGGGAACAAGCGGGTGAAGTTTGTCGCGGGCGATCCGCCCCTTATGAGCTGCTCATTTCTGACGGTGATGCTGCCGATGGAGTCCCCATCCATCTGCAGCCGACGAACAGCGCCCTCTTGCTGAACACACACACACACCGGAACATATCACACGCGCACGAGGGAGAAGCAGATTAGGTGACCAACCACGCTGGCAGAGAGAGCTCACGTGTCCAGGGAGGAAGGAGAATCCCTCCTCCTCGTCAAAGAATACGGACCCTCCGCCGAAGGCACTGGCAGTGGGAGCCAGCGCCCTGCGATGCGATGAATAACCTCCGTGCTCGCGTCTGTTGGGAAGACCAACAGACGTCATCCGGCTGATCCATCTCCACGGTGTACCTGTATTCATCTTGTATGATGCCACTGCCATCATCGGCGCCACATAGCCTCCAATAGCGTCCGATAACCGCCCAAAGGACGAGGAACGTAACGCCCTTTCCACTCATCTACTCGCCATCCCCGAAAGATCTCCTTTGAGCGGTAAACTCTAATGGGGGCCATGGGGGCGAGAGAGACCGCACGCATGCGCGGCCGAGGAGCCTCCTCCAGCTCATCAGGTCCGCAACAGTAACGAACAAGACCTTAGTGAGCTGCTGAGGGGTGCTTCGAGCTGAACTTCCCCGTCCGCCTCCCTCCTCTGTCCGCCATCCTCCTCTGGTCTGAGATCACCTTCCCTGCCTCTTCTCACTCATCATGCTGTCGGAGCTCAACCACACGCGTCGGAGGGGGCATGAGTCTGACAAGGAGGGGAGGACACGACACCGCCAGGAGATAAGGAACAGCTCCACGCGGGCCAGCAAGGCCAACACCCCCAACAACACCCGAACCTTCTCCAAGTACCTGCCCCCTCGTGCAGACGGTGACACGACAGAGCCCCTGGAACTGCAGTCGCCTGTACTGGCCAAAAACGGCCTCAAGTATGGGCTGGGGAGGGGGGCCAAGGCAGGTGCGAGCGCGACGGCCACACACTTGGCAGAGAGGGGTACGGCTGGGGCGGTGTCGCGTGCATTGGCGTTCAATCGAGATGACCGCCGTGTGCGAGAACAGAAGGACACCAAGGAACGTGTCAAGGTACTGGCTGACTTCTGCTGCCGCATTCATTGCCACGCGAAGGAGGGCGCTGTCTCGTTGTCTTCAGGTGCGTCAAGCGAATGCAAGCGTGGAGACAGCTCCGTACGACGTCACTGTGGACCAGGATGACACCAACACTCCTAACAATCGTCCCTTGGGTCTCCTGTCCACGTTCGGCATGGCGCACCTGGGTCAGCAACTGTCGAGTCTCGCCATCCAAACGCGAGGCGAGGCCCGCAAGAACGACATCCTCTCCCGCGCATCCCGGACCATCAACGGAGCTGACACTAGCAAGACGCGCTCGGCGGCGTTGAAGATAGAGGAGTTGCTCAACTCCACCCTCGACCGCCCAGACACACTGGTCGACGGGGCGCTTCTCGACACGAAGAGGAACCGCACAGGGGCATCGCGCGACGACATCGACGCGTGCGTGATTCAGCCGCCCGCGTCGGTGATCCGTCGACGGGAGAAGCTGGACAACTTCTCTGTGGGAATGCCGCACCTGACTGCCAGGGGGGCGTGGCTCGAGCCGGGTGCCCTGCCACTGGCGCTGAGGAATGCCGTCAACTTCCTCAGTGGGACGCCCTTCCCTAGGACCAAGTTCCCCAGTCCCAAGGGCTCTTTGGCCCCTGCAGAGGAGCCTAAGACGTCTCTGGTGCCCTCGGACGTGCCTGGCATCCCCATGAATGGGAGAGGCTTCCACCGAAGGCTCACCGTCGTCCTGGGTAAGTCAGCGCCTGAACAGGCACACGTCGCTGACTGCAAGAGAGACATGGACCTCGGCCCGTCTGTTTGTGTGTTCAGATTTGGATGAAACGCTAATGCACTGCAAGTCGGAGCCGATGAATCGGGAGGCCGATGTCACGGTCCGGTTTGAGGACTCGAGCAACGTGGTGGGTCGGTGCCGGAGGAGACATGTCTGGATCGACCACATTGCGTGTCTATCGATCTGTCTGTCTGTCTGTCTCTTTTGTCAGGGTCATGTGTATTTCCGTCCGGAGGTGAGGAGTTTCCTCAGAAAGGTCTCGCAGCTATACGAGTTGGTAATCTTCACCGCCAGCACGCAGTCGTACGCTGACCAGGTGAGACAGGACACGTGTTCTCGATGAATCGATGGATGGATGGATGACCCTGAAGTGCATATCTTTGTGTGTGCAGGTGATCGGTTTCCTTGACCCCAATCGTGAGTGGGTCAAGAACCGGTTGTACCGCCACCACTGCACCGAGGTGAGTGGTGGATACGTCAAGGACCTACGCATCTTCAACCGACCGCTCGACCGAGTGGTGCTCGTCGACAACTCGCCCATCAGGTCAACAGACACTCACACAGACAGAGAGGCCTCTCCTCTCTTACGAATGTTGTCTCTTTGCGTTCAGTCTGGCTTTTCAGCCGGACAACGGACTGTTGATCAACAGCTGGCTGGGCGACCAGGACGACAGAGAACTCGATGAACTTGAGAATGAACTGCAGGCATGACCAGACCACCCATCCATACTACAGACGCGCAAATGTCCCCACGTTTGTGTCTCTTTGTGTGCTGTGCCAGTTGTTGGACGACCATGGCGATGTGCGTCGGTATCTGGAGACCCGTTACGGCTTCAAGCAGTGGATCAACGGCTTCAGACAAAACCTGGAACCGATCGCCCAGATCAACTGACAGACCACACAGGCGTACGATGAAGACAGCGAGAGAAAGGAGAACGCCCATTCACGCGGCTGTGTGCATTGTTTATTCAGGCTGGTTGGCTTGGTGGTTGGTTGTGCATGCGTGTCTCGTCCGCCAGACCGAGAGAATAGCACTGCCGTCGGCCGATATCGCTCCCCGTGTCCCTCCGACCCCTCCGTGTGCATACACACACATGCTTCTGAGCAGCTCGCTTGCGTGTCAAAGCCGTGGACACTAGGCAATTACTGAACATCCAAACAATCAATCAATCTGCCAACACGAGAAGGCCCTAGCGGCAAAAGCCTTCGTCGTAAAAGCCTTCGTCGTCCTCCGTTGCGCGAGGGTCACGATCTGCCGAACAAGTCGCGTCTCCGCGATGCAGCCGGATTGCACAGAGAGGCAACACCTGAGCAGCAACACACACACGGGGATCGGCGTACAAAAAGAATGTCCCCTGTGCCGACGAGAAGAGGACCCACTCTCTTTCGTCAGGCGATATGTGGCTGTCGAAGCCCTCCATCCTGTCGGCTCCGTCGATTCTCTTTACACACTTGTACGTGCGCCCCAGCAGCACCGCACACACGAGGAGGCAGCCCCCTGCGCCACAGTAGGACAACGAAGTTTCAATATAAGGGGAGAGGTAGATGCCACGTCCCCAATAGCTGTACGAACACGCAGCATAGGCCTGCAGCCATATCTCCGCAATGTGTGAGTGCGTTGTCACCCTTTGTCCGTCCTGTGTGTCACGTCATTGTCCTTGCCTGCAGGTCACCATGCATATGCAGTCTCTTGTCAAGCGTCTGTATGAGTGTGTTGGGCCTCTGCAGTACCGGGCACAAGGAGGCCTCGCCTAAGAATGCTCGTGTAGCGCTCCGACGAGGTGCCGTGGAACGCCAGATAGACCTGAAGCGAGGCCAAAAGATAGTGAATCGACAGGTCTTCTTCCAGCAGAAAATGCTGACGTACATTTGTGGGGTGGTAGGTCCACTTGGAGACTGCCTGCCCCCTGAACCTTGCTTCAAGCCGCCGCTGCTCCAACTCAAAGTGTAGGGACAGCAGTACACCGCTTTCTATCAGTCGTGTGTGACCGTCTTTCAGAAGCTTTTCTGTAGAGGCGACCTGGGGCAGGGACACGACGACACCTTGCCGTCCAGATGCACTGCGAACTCTCTTGACCTTCATGCGTTTTCCCAGCTGCTCTAGTGTGTGTGGCAGCTCCTCAAGGACGAAGCGGTGAGCAGAAGAGAAGTCATCGAAAAATGACCCACCGATCCTCTCCGCACGACCGCCGCTCCCACAGAGAGTCTGCACGTCACACAACCAACTGCATGCAACCGTGATCCAACATAGCGTCCACCAAGCTCTACCGCTTCATCGTCGGAATTATCGTCGGGATCTCGCACGAAACCGACGACATCGGCCGCATCTTGCAGCCGGCAAGGCAGATCCCTGTCGACCGAGTCCACCCGTATAAGCTCGGCTTCATCATCGGGCTCTGCTGCAGCATCCACGTCCAGGAAACTGGCCTCGTCAAAACGAGTCGCAAACACTGAGAGTGCAAAGGCCATAGAGGTGGATGAGCTGCTCTTGTGGGCTTTGAATGTAGGAATTCCTATGAGTCCGATCCCACTCGGGGTCTGCGAGCTTAGCTAAAGCAGAGAGAGATCTGCACAGGACGGTTGACGACACAGCCAGGCGGTTTATCCTTGCCTTTTCGTGCTGGACCGTCACCTTGCTTCCAATGAGTCGCTCGAGCCGTATAATTGTCAAGGGTGTGCCGAAGCACTGGGATGAGAGGCGACTCAAGCAGCATATCGAGCGCATCGGCCAGGCCATCACCGACTGCAAGATTGCCAAGACCAGAGATGGGAAAACACGACAGTTCGCCTTCGTCGGCTTCAAAAGCGCAGATGCCGCTCAGAATGCTGTCGACTACTTCAACCAGACCTACCTCGACACATCCAAGGTGACCGTCGAGTTCGCCGTGGCGCCCGAGTCCAAGCAACTGCCTCGTCCCTGGTCCAAGTACTCCAAGGGGAGCTCAGCCCACGCCAGGCTCAACCAGCCCGACGAAGCGGACGGGGAAAGGGTTGCAGAAAAGGGCGGCAAGGGCAAGCTTAAGGACAGGGGAGGGGATGAGGTGGTGGAAGATGCCGGCCTGCAGGAGTTCCTCGACGTCGTGGGCAAGAGAAGAGGCAAGCAGACCTGGGCAAACGAGGACACCGTCTCAGCAGCTGTGCGGCAGGATTCGGTCAAGCCCACCAAGGCCGGCGTGGCGAGCACCAGGACGCACCTTCAGTTCGATGACGACGAGCCTGAGGATGAAGATCAAGAAGACGTCAACGACTTCACAGAGGTGGCGGCCATGGATGACAGGGGCACAGAGGGCCGCCGGGACAAGGCGTCCATCGCCTTCGACGAGTCGGTCGACGACATGGCCTACCTGCGGTCCAAGATGACTGCGACCAGCAAGCCAGCCGCTGATGACGAGCCCTCACCCGACACGCAGCAACAAGACGACCAGCATCCTGGGGACGCAGACATGGTCGGCTCTCCGGCGAGCAACGATGAGGGGGATGAGCCGATGGGTGAAGGCGATTCCAGCCCCATGGACACGACTAATGACCTCAAAGTGGACCTGTTGGCGGACGACGATGGGCAAGATGGCGAGATGCAACTCGCCGACTCGCAACAAGAAGAAGAGGACCTGGCGTCGAGCGGTCGGCTGTTCTTGATGAATCTGTCGTACGAGACGACCGAGAAGGAGCTGCGGGACCTCTGCGGCAAGCATGGCGAGATCGCCGAAGTCCATATTCCCAAAGATGAGGTATGTGCGCTGCGCTCATCCATGCCATCAGCACACATGTCGTGCA